GGAATCGAACTCACGCTGAAGTGGCTTTAGTTTCTTAGTGCTGTACTTTAACCCGCGGCGCCACCAGGGAGGGCCCGTTCATGGTATTTTTTTGAATTCATACATCTACTTAATTCTCGAAATGGTCCAAACTTTAACGATCTGCTCTTATGTCTGCCTCTTTCCAAGTCCTAAAAGACCCATGTTGAGTTCTTATTATTTGGCCCATCATAAAGGCTGTTACAAGTTTTCAGAATTGGCATCAAATCAAAGCTGTATTTACATTATTCTTGAGAACCATGTGTGCATTTCAAGAGTTAGAGGGAAATAATCAAATGAAATTGAACCATGAATTATTTAGCATTGAGATAAGGTTGAAAAATATTAAAGCTCTGTGATCCATAATGGGTTATAAATTCATGTTGCGAACAGGTTTGCCATCACAGTGAACAGAGGTTTACTGACAAACAATACTTATGCTATGAACTAAGTGTCCCTTTGCCAGGCGCCACTCTTCACCCTGCCTCTTAATGCTCAGACGCTGCACCAAAAGCAGCCGGACAGGACCGAGGCCTGAGCACTTCATTCTTTAGTTTTGATTCACTGGGTTTGTGTTTTCCCATCTCATTTTCCAGGAAGCCAGAGTATAACTGTAAGAGCCCCAGAGCTTAAGGGGAGAGAGTATAACACTCCCTCTGGAAGACTTTCTTTTCCTCCAGGACCTGAGAGAATGGAGCCTATCTGGAACTCAAGGCTTTCTCTCTTGCTGTGCTCTTCCTTCTCAGAGAAGGGGGCTTAAGGAGGAGGAAGCTTGCTCTTCTGAGTTGCTGGGCACATCCCCAGCTTCTCCTAAAGTGACTTGTATGGCAGTGGGCTGGCTGAGGGGCCAGCTGTGGTGAGAATTTGCTGTATCTGAATTTTATTCATACAAAGTACAGGCTGCTTACTTGTTTAGAAAAAAAACAGAAAACGACACAAAAGAAAAACACTCTTCAGGCTTGTTGTCTTTCAGTGAAGAGATTTTTTTTTTCCACTTAGAATTAGCAGACTAAAGAGGCCAAGTATCCATTTGAATCTTTTTTATAAAAAAGATTTATTTATTTATGCATACAGAACTGGGTTCAGGTCAGAGGTGCAGGGGCAGTGAGAGGATTTACCAGAAGCAGAGTGGGGAGCAGAACAAGCAAACTGATGAAATACTCTGCTGAGGGAACTAGCGAGGGAGACAAGAGAGGTCTGTTGTGCCATGTGGGTCAGCTCCCCACCCGGGGATTGAATTTTTGAAGCTAGCTTCATAGCGCTACACTTCAACCCACTGCATCGCCAAAGGGCAGGTTCATTATAAAAAGGGAAAGAAAAGTAAAGGTCACTTACACAGACACAAGAGGACAGAAAGAATGGTCCTGAAAAGGCACAGGTTTGCTAAAAGAGGGTCCTGTATGTAAATGCAGCGGGCATGTCTGGGAGAGAGCTGACCCTGTTTTCTCTGAGAAGAGAGAAGGTTGTAGGAGAAACCCCTGCATAGTCACAGGTGGGCAAGGAAGTTGCAATGGCAGAAGGTTATTCTTTTTGGAAGGGGTTCATTCCTTTAATTGTAGTAGGATTAATTATTTCTAGGGTTGGTGCATAAAGATTGTTTCTGTACTTGTTTTGGCTAGATAGGTAGGAAAGAACTGGGGGTTGTTTTTTACAAAGACACCTAATCTCCATACCCCAGCCTCAGATCTGTGCCTCTGGATAATTTACATTTCTAAAGCTTGTATAATGACTATGTTAATCATTTCTACCCCCATGATTTCTGGTCTTCTGATGACTCCTTCCCAAATTTTCTACACTTAGCTTCCATCCTAAAGACCTCACATTTAAACATCTAGAGCTTGAACAATTAATTTATAGCCAATTTTATATAATCTATGCACCATTCCCTTACTCCTAGATTATTTTGAAGCCATCAGATATGTTATTTAATACTTTGGCATTTTTTATTCATTAGCAATATTGTCACAACAGTTTACCTTTGACTAATAAGCTTCTGAATCCATATATTGTTACCTCACAACTTGAAAAGATGGAGCGTTCATAGAATATTGAAGGCATACAACAGAGGGGGGTGTGCGTGGGTTGGGGAGGGGCGGTTGGAATGTGTAAACAGCTCCATCCCTGTGACTAATCTACTGTGCACACAACAGCACCCAGGGTGCAGGCACACCCCTCCCCTGGTCACCTAGTAACATTTCACTGGCCAACAACAAGCTGAATAAAGTACTGTGTTGTGGGAAGGTGCTTGGCTAACCAACTTGGATCATCTCCTAGATTTTAGGAGAAACACCAAGTTTGAATTTGCTAAACCTTTAGGCTTTGCTGGCAGGAAAGAAACATTCCACTTCTAGAACATAAAATGGATACAGAAGACATGGGCTCAGGTAAACTGGGCACAATATTGAAGCAGATTTGGAGACAAAACCTGATGCTAACGCAGGTGCTTCTGGGTGATGACCACAGTGAGGGGGCTGCTGGGGCCACGTGGGGCTCGACGGTGGTCTTTCTGGGGCTAGAGTTCAGTGGAGCCCTCCAGCAACTCCTGGAGCACACTGCAGGGACCCTGCGCTTCTTCTGTCAGCGGCTGCATGTGCTGCTTGACAAGGAAAAAGAATGTCCCTGGAGACAAGGCAAGTGATTCTTTTGTGTGGTAGGAAATATTGACAGGTAGCTACTCTGAGGTGGGTTACGGAACCTACAAACCAGGCTAACATAGAGTCTGTCCACACAGAAATAATGATATAATAGGAGAAACAAGAGTAGACAAATACATAATAATGCAAAGAAGTTTGGGGCCATTTCCAACGGAGACATAGGGGGTAAAATGTTTAAGATTTTTGAAGCAGGTAAGACCCCTGCTTTGGAGTAGAAAAGTGGGAATTTTGTTGGAGTGAATGAGATTTTTAAACTGAAATTTAAGGAGTGAATTGGATTTATGCAACTGGAAATTAGGGATTTGAAAGAGTGTTTCAAGCTGAGGTATCCAAGATTTAGAGGTAAGAAAATATACCAAGTCTGAGACAGAACTAGAAGGCTTCTATAGTGGAATATAACACGCTATTTTTAGAATTAGTTGACTTTTTCCTACTAATTGCAAAACTCAGGTGGGTAGAACATGGAATTAGAACATGTTGCTGGGGCCAGAGCCAATGATGAATACTGACAACTACTTTATGTCAGGAGTAACACAGCACTGAATGACTGTGATCTCAGACAACAGTTACCCTATATCTGATGGTTTAGGATAAAAAAAGATGCCACATGATGTGTGGCGTCATGAAATAGAGCTCTAAATGCAATGGTGTCAAGGCCAATAGGGAAGGTCTCGTCAATTAAGAATCCAGAGCAGAAAATGAAAAAAAAAAAAATTCATTCTAGAGGACAGAGAATCCACCCAAATGTAGAATGACAGAGACAATCAGCTGAGCTCAATAGTCAGGACTTAAGTCTGCCAAAAGAGTCAAATGTGGTCTAGAGCAGCAGAAGTACTTATTCATGAAAAATAATAAGCACTCAGTTATATAAAGAACATGTATGGTCCCAGGCACAAGCTAAATAAAATAACTTTATGACTAGTGAAAAGATGATTTAGTGGTAATCTCAAAGTAATTTAGCTATGGGGTTTTAATAGATTACATAGTTCAGAATTGAATTTTTTAATATTTTTATATTATTCTTCATTTTGTACATTTTTTTTTCATGTGAGTTGTAATCCCCATGGATTTCCCACCCCCACTTCACCTATGCGCCATTGAATAGTTGCCTGCAAAATCCAAAGGTGATCCCAGTTGTGAGGATAGGAGAGATGAACAAATAGGAGCGTAGTCAGAAATGAGAAAGTGAGGGGTTATATGTCAGACTCTGGGAAGGGTTTTCACCAGAGTGAAGAGGCTTGACTTGGTATAGTAGTCCTTGATTAGCCACTAATCAAGGAATCAGAGAATCCATATCATCAGCGCTATTCTTTGGAAGACTATTTTGAAAAATGACAGTTTTCATGAGCTCAGCAGGAGGAATGGTGTAAACCCAATGCAATTCTCATAGCAACAACATAGTCAATAAATTGTAGTATCTACACCAAAAGGAATAATGAAACTATCATATGCCTGCTACCCAAGACTCATCAAGAGTGACTGATAATTTTAGACACATAATTGTAGGTGAAGTACATTGGTATAGGACATTAAGGGAGAAGGAAACAGTTCTTGAAATCATACCAGAGGAACAGTGCTGGAGGAAGATGATGTTGCTTTCATTTGAGCAGGCTTTTTTTTTTTTTTTAAGATTTATTTATTTATGTATACAGAACTAGGAGAGGTTCAGGGGAGATAATAGGATTCACCAGAGACAGAGTGGGGAGAACAGCAGGCCGACTGATGAAGTACACTGCTAAGGGGAACAGCAGGAGGGTCAGGGGAGGTCTGCAGCATCATGAGGTCATCTCCAGGTTGGGGATGGAATTCATGCTGAAGTGGCTTCAGCTTCTTGGTGCTGTGCTTCGACCTGCTGTGCCACCGGGGAGGGCCCCATTTGAGCAGTCTTAGGGGCGATAGTATCTGACTTCAACTATTCAAAGAATTTCACAAGCAAGAGGGATTTGATTTACTCTTTGTAACTATATTACCAAATTGGGCATTTGTTGCCAATTCCTACTTGAGTTAGAAGAGTGACAATTGTACAAATGACTTCTCATTTAGGAAGGATATTAAATGCCCAATACAGGTCCTTGTAGGCTTCTAAATTTATCTTGACAAACCTCATCACATATCAGTAGAGAAACATACCGTGATTTAGTTTTACACTTGTTTTTATTTATTTTTTCTTTTTTTTATGTTTCTGTGTGTGTAGAAATGATTACTTTCATAGACTGCCTCATGAAAATCAATGACTGTTTGGGGAGCACTGCTACACTTCTAAAGAAAGAAGAAAAGGGGATGTGTAATTTATGCTGCACGCATGATGAATGTAGTCCACCACAGACAATGGCCGCCATTCAAGATATCAAAGCAACAGACATTGCTGCAAGTGGGGAACAGAATGTCATAGAAACAGCTACTTTTTCTCCTACAAACAGAGAGGATAGTCTTTACACAAACCAGGTCCAGCTAAAAAAAACTGAAACACAAATGAGTTCAGAATTTGCAGTAAAAGAAAACAATACATCATTGAATGGCGATAGTACAAGACAAGAGGAATCACGGAACAAAATGTTCCCAGATAATACAGAAAATGAAGCTGATAAACAAATTAATCACATGACTGCTGAGAACATAAATGGTAACAGGGAAGAGATGCATGACATAATCCAGACAACAGAAAGAGAAATTCAAGAGCCCTCAGAAAACCAAAGAGAGATGACCACATTCTCGAGAACATGTGATATTTCCAATAACTATAATAGTCTTCTCAGTTATCCAGATAGTTTAAAGCAAGAGAACAACATAATTGAAAAGGAGTAAGTAAATGCAAAGGAAAAATCTTACAATCTCTGTTTATCTGTGTGTGTTGTATTTAGTATATCTAGTAATTTACACCGTGTTTTATCTCAATGTCTCCAAAGGATATGATAAATCAATAATTTTAAGTTATTACCCTAAAATTTATATGGATGTTATTACTAGTAATATCTGTTATAATTTTGGGAAATAAACATATTAACTTTTTATTAAAATAAGGATGAAATACGATATAAGGGTAGTTAAAACAAACTCCATAATGTGGACATTTTCCTAAATCACTACTTTTCAACTATTTTTCAACTAATAACAAGAAAGTTGGAGACTGCAGAGTTGTTCAAAAATTAGGAGAGAATTTTATGGGCTCACATTTAATTAATTATAGCTTCAAATAAACTATAAGATATTTTTATTTATAAATTATCATGAAATTTTAACCTGTATCTATAGAACTATAGGGCTTTGGATAAACTTTGGGACACTCTGAAAACTGCATGTTTACTTTCCTACCTATGTTATCTTCTTGGGGATGGTCAAAGCTTTCATTGGATCCTCAAAAAATGAGAAGAAAAAAACTCCACTTTATGAATCCTCTCCCCTCAACCAGAGTTAATAGTTTTTATATGTTCAAAAATGAAAGAAAATACTCACAAGGCAGTATTTTCCCAGGCAAACCTATCACCCCTTAGAAGCAACAGAGAACAGAGAAACAAAGATGTTGCTTGTTTTAGGAATTAGACAGACTTAAATTTTACTTCCTGTTTCATCAGGTAACAGTTTCCTGACCCTGTACGACTTTTTGTCAGTCACATCTTCTTATTTAAAGATGTTATGTACCCTTTCTGGGATTATATGGTAAAGTTAAATGAGAAAATCATGAAAATATCACCATGTCACTTCACAGCTTTCTGCTTGTAGCTAAATGTTTGCAAGTTGATTTATTACTTTTCTCACTGCCCATTTATTATCAACCTTCACTCATGCCTGCTGTACATGAGGTATGTTCTTTCAGGTATATGATGCTCTTTCCACAATAACGCCGCTGTGAGTCTACAATCTTAAACAAGGCACTTTGCACATCTCAACCTCTGTGATCATGGCTGTAACATGAAGATGTTGATTTAGTTTTAACTGTGATGTCCCTACAGGTCAGAGAATCTAGCAAGTTCTCTGTGTCACAGGAGTCCCTTCAATGCATGAAAAACCCTCCTTGTCTGAATTACTCTCTCTGCAAAATGACTAAATAAGTCAATATGCAGTTTCCCATTTTGTCTGAGAAAAAGCACGAGCAGTTCATCTCATCTTATTTCAAAATGACTTGAGACATCAAGGAATGAGTCATGCCAGACCACTCCCTCCTTTAGGTGTTCCCTTGTTAGTGCTTTCCTCTTTATGGTATCTGAGCCAATTGTGCTTGGCTTGCATATTTAACATGATGACTACTCATCACTGCCCTTCAGGCTAGTAAGCCATCAGACCACATTAAAAAATAATGTGTCATAAACAAAACCCAGCTCAGAATCTGCTGAGATTCCTCCCTGAGTATCTTTTAGAAACAAACCTCTCTTTAAAAAAAAAAAAATTTCTTTTTAATCGAGGTAATATTGGGGTACCTCCACAAGGTATCATTGCCACAGTACACCCACCCAGCTGGCCCACAGTCTACTGCCAAAGACCACTGTACTTTCCCTCTTTGTTCCTTACTTTTCTCACTCCGTGCTCTTTCACTGCTGTAGTCAGCTATCATGGCTTAGTTTTTCAGTTTATCTTTATCTGACTATTAATTTAGTTATATTGTTTATATTTCACATATTAGTGACACCATCTGGTATTTATCTGTCCCCTGGTTTATTTCACCTGACATTATCCTTTCAGGTTCTGTCCTTGGTACTGTAAATAGTAGAAGCTTGTCATTTTTGTTTGTTGAGTAGTACTCTATCATGCATCCAAACTACAACTTCTTGATCCTCTCATCTGTTCTGGGGCATTTAGCTAGTTTACATAGTTTAACTATAGTAAATAGTGTTGCGGGCCCATGTTTCCTTTCAAACTAATGTCTTATTTTTTCGGACAGATACCAGGAGTAGAATTATTGGGTCAAATGGCAAAACCATGTTTAATATGTACAGACACCTCCATACTGCTTCCCATAAAGGCTGGAGCAGTGAAACAAACTCTTCCAGCCTATTGGCCTAGAGTATCTAGACTCGGAGAGAAGCAGAACTAAACCTAAGTGATTACTTAGCTGTTGTACTAGGTTTCTTTGATTAGGGCTAAGGGAAATAGAAGTATTAACTGGTCTTCTCACAATACTTCATCTGTCTTTTGAAATAAGTGTATATTGGGATGGTATCTAGGGCACAGAGAAGAGGTATTCATGAAGGTACACAAGGAAGGGCCACAGTCTTATTATTAAACAATGTTTCTTATTTTCTAAAGCATCCGTATTATTATCACTACCACAAAACCCAGCTCAGAATATAAATATATGACTCTCTCAGCAATTTCAACATATTTTTAATATTTCTATATTAAAGGGAATTCCCAGGTCCAATTTACTAATATTGAGAATAGTTAAAACCTGGTTATTCTAGAGCTGGATATTAATGCTGTATCTTGGAAAGACTCTTATTTCTCCATGACATTGTCATTTTGTTAATAAGAAATGAGAAGCAGGAAAAAAGGAGGAAATCAAGCTCAAGATTTAAATGTAGAAATCCAGTATTTATTAAGCACCCTTTTATATCAACTCACTACTATAAGAAGTTTAAATATCTTATTTCATTCCATCCTCACACTATTTTAGATTAGGTACTGGTTTCAATATGCAATATATCAAAAAACCAGTGCTTTGGAATGACTTGAGAAGTGTGATATTATAGTTGAAAGTTTGGGGATTTCAAGATAAATTAATTCAATTTTTGCTTCAGAACCTTATCATTGGTGTGATTTGTAGAAATTAAACTTTCTAAGTTGTGATTTCCTTCTCTGTAAAGTGGTGATAATAATTGTACTTACATGATGCCCTAGTCATGAGGATTAATGAAATAAACATACAACCTAAAACTTGGTCCAAAAAGCGCCAAATTTTAGCTATTTTAATCTTAATTATTAATGTTTAAGGTCAAATAAATAGTGTGTGACTGACCCTTACATTTGAAGTCAAATAATGCTCTAAAATCTTTGGCAAGTATGTCAGTATAAAAAGCCAGAGTGAACTGAATGGCTAAAATAAGTTTGGGGATTGATTCTTTTGACAATTATAGGTAATCTGTTTGTAACTATTGTAAGCAATCATAAGCTCACAGTTTTGTACCTTTCTCAGTTTTTCTAAAAATAAATAGCAAATACTATCATTTGCTCAATATATTTGGACAAATACAATACCTCATTTGGATTACTCCCTCTCCTCACAGTTTAGGAAAATATTCAGCTATTAGCATTTGTGTTATTAAGAAGTTAGCAATATTCATGTTTATATCATGGAATAAATATGACCGAGGAATGAACCAAATACTTGAGTAATTTTACAAAAAATAACTATAACAACAGAAATACTAGCTAAGATATGTAACACCCTCTATGGGCCAGACACAGCATTATGATTACTCAATATGTAGTAGCCCATTAATTCTTGTACCCCACTTATGAAGTAGATATTATTTTATCACTATTTTACAGTTGAGGAAACTCAGGCAGTATGATGATGATCTTGCCCAAAGTCACAGAGTCAGTAAGTCAGAGAACTGGGTTTCACACCAAGATGTGGCTGGGATCTTGTGCTTTTCCTTACTTAGTTGCACAATAAGAAAATCAAATAAATAGGAAATTGATATCTTTTTTTTTTCTCTGCAGGTATCTTGACATGCCGAATGATGATAATGACCCTCAAGTATCTTGTTATATTACAGCTAATTCATACATTCTACAGCATCTAGAATGCCGGATAATTAATAAAATGAGTTCCTTTATAGTAAGTGATAGTGAAGAGTTGCTCAGCCATGTCATCGCCATTGAGTGCACACATAAAGAAAAGAGAATTCCATTTCCAATAAGCATTGCAATTCCATTTACTGCACGTTACAGAGGAAATTACAGGGATGTCATGGTGAAAGTGTCTGATGCAAACTTCCAAGCAAGTTACCTAGCTCCAAATTCACTGGAGGGAACAAGGGGAAGTTATAAGGTTGGTAAATCCTTGCCTACATATGCATTTGCTGTTCGACTCCTCCTCCAAATAGTATTCATACCACCAGACTAGAGCAAATATAACTATTCTATTGGTAACAAATAGAAGGGTTGACAGATTTATGCCAGTGCTTTCATGATTTTTTTTTCCTTTGTTGCCCATAAACTTAAAGCACAAAAATTATTGACCAAAGTTAGGAATGAAGGATTAGGTCTAGAACAATGAATGTTATCTTTTCATCTGGAAAACAAAACCATCCCAGCAGCCTGACTGAATTCATTTCACGTCCTGGACTAGCTTTACACTAACATTTCCAATGTGGTGAGGTTCTATCAAGATTTAAGAAAGAATCCCCTGGTGAGAGCGGCTTTGTTTTTATCATTTATGAGTTGGAAATTTTCATAAAAAAGAAAGAAAGAAAGAAAATGTGTGCATGTGTGTACATCTTGAGATAGTTAATTGTGTTTACTCTGTACATGAATGATAGCAGATTGGTAGTTAGGATGATCATTGCAGAGAAAGATTAGCTAGGTTTGTTTTCTAGTTCCTATGCTCTCTTGCTATGTGAACTTGAGTAAATTATGTAACTATGCTATGACCATTTATCTGAAAAGTAAACACAATACAGTAGCTTCCTCTGATTTTGGGGGATACATTTTAAGACTATCAGTGGATGCCTGAACCCATGTTATTACTGAACCCAATGTACTGTTATTTCCTATACTTATATACCTATGATAGAGCTTAATTCATAAATTTGGCACAGTAAGAGATTAACAACTATAAATAACAATACAAAAAGGGCATTTTTAACATTTTAGTGTAGAAATAGTTACATGAATGTGGTCTCTTTCCCAAATACTGTACACATTTTCAGAGCATTCTTGACCATGAGTAACTGAAATTACAGAATGATTAACCCCAGTAAGGGAAGACCAGTGTGCTAAATTTTATGATCTCACAAGATCATAATGGTGAAATGAGGAAACATACTTAAGAAGATAAAAGTAAGCCTATGTCTATGCAATACTTGTTAATAAGTTATATTTTCACAATGGACTTTATTGTTGTAATAATGTCTGTGGTCACAAACTCATTTTAAACAACATACACAATTATTAAACTGAGTATGGACATGATGGGAACTAAGGTTTAAATTTCATCTGTTGCCAGTGAACTTATTTTTCAATAATAATACTTGTTTTTTCACTTTTATGTAAGTTGACATTATTTGAAGAAGATAGTAGAGGAATACACATACAAATATTTTCATGCTTACAAGAAAGTCTTTAAAATACATGTTTTCCTTTTGGATTTCTCTCTGAATTTTCAGAGTTACCAAGTTATACAGTTGAATGTGAAAAGTAAGCCAATTACTTCCTCCAATTCATGCAAATAATTCCTTTTATAAAATTGAGTCTAGGAAGCCTGTAAGTCTATAAATACCCTGATCAGTATTTTCCTTGATTGTGGGTTTTTTAATCATGGCTCATCTATGTGACTGTCATCATAATAAAAGCAAAAACTACTCCTAGCTCTGTGCTTTTCACAGAGGGCAAGAGGATGTTTAGTCAATGGATAATCAAAGCAAAGGGGAAAAATATAAAAGAATCATTATTTACCAGAATAAATAAAAGCATTCCCTTTTCTCTTTATAGTATTCTAATGAGTGTTATCCCTATTTTTATCTCAAGAATATTCAGACTCTGGATTCCTTCCAGGTTTTTATGTGGCTTATATGACATTTAAGAATTCTAATTCTGGAGTCAGATAAACTATCCTCAAAGTTCTGTTCATGACACTCCTCTGCTCCAACCCCTTTCCGCTCTCTCAGTCTCTGCCAAGAACGCTGTAAATGCTTAGCAACCAACACTGGTTCCCAGAAGACCTTTCTTTCTCACCTCTCATCATTTTTCCCTCCAGCCAATTAGAAACATTCATCATGTCCTGCAATTTCCCAGCAATAGATTTATGTAGTGATATTGTGAAATCTCTTAGTCAGCTTTCCAATGCGAGGCTATTTTGCATAGTGATGGCCCTCATGTTGTGTGTGTGTCTTCATGTTTATGCATTAAAATTGGGGTGGAGCTGGGTTGGTATCCAGAAAAACATGAATACAGCAAATTCTTTTAAGGTTTCCTTCTCATTTTAAGCTTTGGCAATTAAATGAATGGATAATATCATTTTCATTACATACTCAGTTCCTTTTTATGTGAGAAAAATACTTGATTATGTCTCTGACTATATATATATTATAATTTAAATGCCACTATATTAATAAGAAACACAATACACCTCTTTGCAGGCATTTGTTCTCACTACATGGAAGAAAGAAATAGACAAATGGCTTTGCTAAGAGGTTTGAGTAGTAAGGAGGAATAATTTACCTACTGTACAGGTGCTATTGCTCTTGCATAAGCGATCCACATGATGAAATTTCACACCTTGGAGTTCCCTGAAACAGTTTGTGCTAGCTGGATAATGACAATATAGAATAAACCAGTCTGGCAAAAAGAGGGTGGCATCCAGAAACAATAATATTTATGAAAACCCTGAATGGACTATCCATTACAGATACACTTTTCTTTTTTAAAGATTTATTTATTTATGCATAAAGAACTGGGGTACAAGCCAGAGGTGAAGGGGTGGTGAGAGGAGCAGTGGGTGGGTCAGGAGAGGTCCGCTGCGCCATGTGGGTCACCTTCAGGTTGGGGAACTAAAGCCAGCTGGAGTGGCTTCAGCTTCCTAGTCCTGTGCTTTAAATCACTGTGCCATCAAGGACGGCCACAGATACACTTTCTAATAAATAAATTTAAATTAAAAATACACTCTGTCTTGGGCCCTCCCTGGTGGCGCAGTGGGTTAAAGCACAGCACTGAGAAGCTAAAGCCGCTTCCGCATGAGTTCGATTCCCGCCTGCCCCGGAG